AGAAAACTAAGGTATGTGAGCTTTCTTATAATTAATTATTTAAAGTTTATAAGAAATACATAATATAAATATAAAGCTCAATAAAATATATCTAACATAATTCTAATTTTTCATATCTGTAAAATGAGTTTGAATGCTTTAGGAAAGATCACTCTTTCTTGCATAATAATTATTTGATCTTACTTAATGAATTTGATTCATTAAAAAAGAAGCACCTTGATTTAACTACTATGCATGATTCCTAGAAAGTATCTCATGTTGATTTAGATAATTCTTTTAAAGATTCAAAGGCATGTATATATGAAGCTGATGATATGGAGCATGCATTAAAAACTGATTATTGATATGGAGCATGCCATAAACCACAACATAACATGCAAGCATTTTATCCTTCAAACTGTAAGGTGGATCCCAAACTTATTTGGGTTCCAATATTTAATCAATGATGATTTTATAGGTCTACTCTAACAAAAAGCCCAGTGAGAGCATGTGATACCTGGAAAACTGATGTTTAAGGCATTTGACTAGAGATGTAAAGAAATTCATCATGTTGGAGGCCAGGGCATGAGGTAAGGAAACACTTAGAGATAATACCACTAGGAATGTGGTTGGATCACGTATAATTAGTAACTCAAAAAATTTAATGATTAAAAATGTTTTACTAGTACATGTCATAAAAAATAATTTTCTCACCCTTAGACAACTCTGTGGTAAAGGCTTCGACATAAAATCTTAATCTACCAGCTGCATGATTTGCTTAAACAAAAATACTATTTTATAAGGAAAAAACAATTAATAATGTTTACATACTAGATTTGAATTGCATTGATTCTGCTACTTTTATTTTCCTAAAAATTATTGGTAATGAATCCTTATTATGACATAGGAGATTATGTCATACAAGAATGAAAAGTTTTAGAAAAATCACCGAAAGAGACATAGTGAGAGGCATACCTAAGCTAGAATTCACTAAGGACCACTTGTGTGATGCCTGTTAGTTAAAAAAAAAATAAGTCAAATCACCCTTCCACTAAATTAAGGACATTAACACTAACAAACCATTACAAGTCCTTCATATGAATTTTTTGGACCTGTTAGCCCTACAAGCCTATTAAGGAAGGTCTTCGAGTATGTTACTGTTGATGATTACTCGAGATTTACTTGGGTTAGATTCTTGTCTCTTAAATGTGAATCATTTGAGGAGTTTAGGATATTCTCCACTTAAATTCAGAGGAAACTAGGTGTGAAATTCTGACCATTCATAGTGACCATGTTGAAGAATTTGAAAAAAAAAATGAATCTTACTATGAGGATCAAGGGATAGATCATAAATTTTTAGCACTTAAAACACCTCAGCGGAATGGGGTAGCTGAAATAAAGAACAAGACCTTAGTAGAAGCCACTAGGCAAAAATAATAAATTCAACCTATTATGTTCTAAATAGGGTAAATGTTAAATCAAAGCTAAATAAGACACCCTATGAAATCCTTAATAATAAGATACCCAGCCTCTCTCATATTTATATCTTTGGATGTGAAGTGTTCATTCTAAATAATAAGAAATTTTTGCTAATAAAGTTTGACCCCAAATATGATGGAGTCTTCATAGGATACTCAAATGTTAAAAAAATCCTTTAAAGTTTTTAATAAATGGACACTGGTGGAAGAGGAGGCTACTCATGTAGTTTTTTATGAATCTAAATAATATTAGAGGGTCTAGGTTAGAAGAAGAAGAAGTGGTTGAAGTCACTTAAGGAGTATAATCTATAAATCTAGAAGAAAGGGTAGAACCTAAAAATCTATTGCCTAGAGAATGAAGATATTCTTCAATTAATCCTAACAAACAGATCTTAGGAGACCCATCTAAAGTTGTAAGAACTAGACATGGACTTAGGAAAGAAGTTATGCACTCTACTATTATCTCAATGTTTATACTTATAAACATAAATCATTTATTATCTGATGAATTCTAATTCCGAGCTATAAAAGAAGAACTGAATCAATTTACTAGAAATAATGCATGGGATATAGTTAAAAGCCCTAAGGAATGAATTTTCAAAAATAAGATGGATAACTCTAATGTAGTGCTTAGAAATAAAGTAAGACTAGTGGCTAAGGGGTACAACCAAATAGAAGAGATTGACTTTGAAGAAACTTTATCTCTTGTAGCTAGAATACAAGCAATAGTGGTGCTACTAGCTTTTTTCTACCCTTTTTTTTTTGAAAGAAATGCTAAATTGCATTAAAAGACAATAAAAAAACTACAAGTCAAGTCAAACCTAAAGCATCACATTCCTCCTTCAAGAAATAGAAGAAAGAAGGAGGAATCAAAGCATCATGAAGATCTTCCCACAAAAAAGAACTAACTAGTGTCAAATTAGCACAAATATCCACTAATTTGTTGTCATTCCTATTTGAATGGGAAAAAAACAATTTGCTTAAACTAAAGCAAGAAAGCCAAATTATCATCAATTAATCTACTAACCTTCCAATTTTTGACCGAATTTTGTATAAATTTTGATGATATTGAAGTTGTCCCCTTCGATGATCACACCTTGAGCCTCAAACATACAATTTTGAAACACATTCTTCAGATACAACACTGCTAATAACTCCAATTGCGATATGTCCCAATGCAAGGACTGATTTCCAAAAGCAACCAAAAATCTCCCCTTCTTATCTTTGGCCACACCGCCAATTCGAGCCAAATGATTTCTCTTAAGAGCTGCATCTATATTTATCTTAATCCACCTGGGAGGAGGAGGATGCCAAGGAGAAAACAACAAAAGCTAGTTAGCATCCCAATTTTTTGGTTGGAGATTTAAAAAGTTACTTCTTACTGCAAAAGAGATAACATTTGCAGCTATGTTGTTATCAGAATCCTCATCTTTGCCATGAACCAACTTGCACCTGCTCTTCCAAACAAGAAAAACCGTAGTACAAAAAATATTTGCTAAAATTAGAATTCTTCCCCACGTATCTTTGAAGACTTTCCAAACAATCTTCAAAACTGTTAAAAACTGAAACAATAAATCCCCAACTATTCAGTAAATCAATTACCTTCCTTAACTTGGAACAATTCCCTACTAAGTGGCTGTAATTTTCATCTTCTCAACAACCCCTTGGACATTCAGAATAGTTACTTAACCTCCTTTTCACAAGAAAGGAATTACAAGGAATGGCATAATTACAAAGTCTCCACCAAAAAAGTTCAATTTTCGGTTTCAACTTAAGTTTTTTCATCCAATTCCAATGAGCAAATTCATTTTTATGAACCATAGCATCCTCACACACCAAGGCTGTAATTGATTTCCCAGTAAATTTTCCCTTCAATTCAATAGCATCTGAAATTCTGTCATTCCTGATAGGAATTTTACTAATAAGGATTAAAAGTTGTTCACCAAAAACAACCTTCAATTTATCCAGATTCCAATGGCCATTGGAAATAAAAGAGCTAAGAAAGATCTCTGAATTTTCATGAATATTGACAAATGTCGGCCAGGATGCAATACATCTGTCTAAAATCCAGGAATCCTGCAGCCAATTGATTGATTTACCATTGGACAGCTCCCATCTAACAATATTTTTAAGAAAATTAGCTCCCATAGTGATAATCTTCCAAGTCGAAGAACAACCTTTCTTCACTTTACCCGACCACACATCTCCTCCATACTTAGCTCTAAGAATAAGATTCAATAGTGTATTTGGCTTAGAGAAAAAATTCCAAGCAAATTTGGCACGTAACGGACCAACCTTCAAAACTGATGAAAATAAGCCTCTGCCACCCTCATTCTTTGGTCTACAAAGTAAATTCCAAGATGCATAATGGAGGCCATCTTTACCATTATTTTTACTCCATAAGAACCCTCTACACATCTTATCAAACTCCTTATTAATGCTCAAAGGAACCAATGAAAATGTAGATAAAAACGAAGGAAGGGAAAGGAATGCTGATTTAGCTAATACCAATTTACCTTCTAATGAAATACACTTCTTACCCCATGTATTCAGTTTACTAGCCGCAACTTCCAATAATACCTGGAAATCCGATGCCACCATTCTTCTCAAAGTCATTTTAACACCGAGATAGGTAATTTTCTTCACAACCATGAATTTAAGCTGTTTAACAATCTTTTCCTGAGTACTTCTCTTGGTGTTCTTTCCAAAAAGAATCATGGATTTAGAAGTGTTCACTTTTTGTCTCGTCCAACCACAATAACTGGATATAATCTTCTTTAATTCCTTAACCTCTTTAATCTTTGCCTCCGAAAAGATTAAAATGTCATCCGCATAGAGTAAGTGAGATACTCTAGGAGATAATAGAGAAATTGAAATACCCAAACCATTTCTTCTTAAAAATAAAGCATCAGAAAGAATTTGAGAGCATAAAATGAATAAAAATGGGGATAAAGGGCAACCTTGCCTAAATCCACACTTTCCTTCAATCCATTCAGTTTTCTTCCCATTGATCAAAATGCAATACTTGTGATTAAGTACACATTGCAATAAAAGTTCCAAAACTTTATTAGGAAAATTGAAACGAATGAGTAGTTGCCTTAACGTTTGCCATCCCATACTATCATAAGCTTGTTCCATGTCAAGCTTAATGGCTACCATCCCTCTTCTTGATTTGGACCACCTGAATTTGTTAAATACCTCCTGAGCCAAAAGCACATAATCAGATAAAGAACGACCTCTTACAAAAGCCGCTTGGTCCATCGAAATGATCTTATGTATGACTCTTTCCAATCTATTCAGTAACATTTTCATAATGATTTTATATATAGTCATACACAAACTGATAGGACAGAAGTGAACAGACTCTTGAGGACTTTTGATTTTCGGGATCAATACAATCAAGGTGTCTTTCCAAGACCGATCCATAACACCTGAATTCAGGAAATGATTAACCGCAAGCCAAACATCTTCTTTAACCACGTCCCAAAAGTCCTTGAAAAAAGAGAGGGTAATCCCGTCCAAACTTGGAGAAATGCTTCTTACCTAATTTTCCACAACCACCTGTAATTCCTCCCTTGTAAACTTAGCATCAAGCATAATTTGGTCAACATTACTAATGACAGCAGATGGATTCAGCCACCCATCTAATGAACATTTTCTGTGTTGCCATTTCAACTTGAAAAAATCTGAGAAAGTCCTCTGGATCACAGCTTCATCTTCCGAAATAATACCATCCTTAGTCATTATATAACTAATCCAGTTGTTATTTCTTCTAGCATTGGCAAAAGAATGAAAAGAAGACGAATTACAATCACCTTCGTCCATCCATCTTGCTTTAGCCCTTTGTCTCCACCAAGTGTTGAGCCTAGCCAAAGTAACACTGAGTTCGTTAATTTTAAACCTCAAAAGATGTAATATATCAAAAGATATCAAACCTTCATCCTCCTCCATCTGAATTTCCAGAATTTCATTCTTCAGTTTATCCCTTAATAAATTCAGATTCATGAACTTTGCCTTACTCCAGTAAAAGTGACCTCTTAGAGTCCTCTTGAGTTTTAAATTGAGAGCAGATGGTGGATAACCCAAACAGTTTTTAAGCCAAATTTTCTTCACCAATGTAGTTGCACCATGGTAAGATGCCCAAGTCTCTTCATAATGGATATCCCTGTTTGAACTCTCCATAAGTTTGTAGATATCCAACAGTATCGGACAATGATCCAATGCTATACAGGATAAGTGCTTAACTATAGCAAGATGGATGTTGTTCAATGCAGAGGAATTAATCAAACACCTGTCTAACTTCTCCAATATCCTGGCATTACCAGTTTTATTGTTACACCAAGTGAACCTTGGTCCCATTGATTTCACCTCATGAAGATCATTAATGATCATGAAGTTATTAAAATCCTTTGACCCTTTAGTCAAGCAAAATGTTTTCCCTCTCCTTTTCTTAGTTTGGGAAAGTACACAGTTGAAATGCCCTCCCACTACCATAGGGAGATCATTTGAACAATGCCTTTCAATATCAATCCAAAGTTTCTTCCTTTCGTGAGCATTTGTACTGCCATACACAGAAGCAACAATCCAGCTACCTTTGCCGTGAACCTCCAGTTTACCCAAAATCATCTGAGAAGAAGCTTCAATAACAGAAAAAGCTACTAAGTCATTCCTCCATATTACCATTAGACCACCTGACAAACCAACAGATGGAACTACAAAAGAGTCCCAATTCGTGCCCAAAAATTTCATAAGGTGGCTATTATCTTGAGAATTAATTTTCATTTCCAATAATCCTACAAAGAAAACCCTATGATCCTTGATCACCTCCTTAAGATATAGAGCAGCCTCCACCTTCTTGGCTCCTCTATAATTCCAAAACAACAATAAAGTCATCGCTTAATGATGGGGGAAGGCACCCCAACCTTCTTAGCTTTTCCACCTTCCATCTTCCTGTTATGAGGAATAACGTTGCCAGACCCAAGGGATCTATGCTCTTTAATAAGCTTAGTCTTTTTCTCATAAGAATGACTCCCGCCCATTGAAGTGTTATTAACAGGCAAATCCTTAATTTTCTTCTGAAAAGCCTCTGGTAGCAACTCTATGCCTCTATCAAAGACGTTTAAGGCTAAGTCTTTATTAGAATAAAAAATTTCCCCTTCCTCTATACCATTCACATTATCAGAATCAAATGCTTTCACCTCATTTAATTCTTCTAATCCAAACAAAACATCAAATTTATTAAGAATTTCCACACCAGAATTATCACCTTTATTCCCTTCCTGTTTCGCTTCCTTCACCATCTGAGCTTCCATAGCAGGGCAATCTTCCATAGAAGTTTCATTCACACCCGCTCTAGGAATAAGGAAATCCTTATTAGCTTCACCTTGCTCCTCTACCAACTTACCCATCATTTTCAAATTAGTAACTCCATTTTTAGGAATAAACAATTTCTTCATAGGGAGAGAAAATTTTTTGTTAAAAAATCTCCTGTTTGCAGCAACCTTATTAAAACTTTTTTTACCATGATTCACTTAAATCCAGGAGTTACCTTCAGCCTTCCCATCTTCAATAACAGATTTTATAGCAAACTTTTGAGAGATCTGTCCACCATCCATTCTAGCAGTATGAGCAATGCTAGATTCCACTACCACCTTATTCTTCAAATCAGCACATGCTTTTAAAGCATGTCCAATTTTTCAACACTCAAAACAGATCATAGATACCCCTTCATACTCTACTTTTTGATAAAATTCTCCAGCTAAACCCTTCACCCAAACACCTTGTGGCAGCTTCAAATCAAGAGGAATGCAAACACAAACTCGAGCAAATTCCCTTCTACTCAACTGGAACATATTCCCATCAAGAAGGTACGGCTTGCCAACCAGAGAAGCAATTCTACAAATGTTTACCTCATCCCAACACTGTAGAGGTAAATTGGGTAGTCTAATCCATACAGGAGAAGTAATGCCCTTGAGAGACGTTGGATTGAAAGTAGCCGACCATTTATCCACTCCAACAACCTGCCCCCTAATCCACCAAGGGACACCTGAAAGAATACTTTCTAAAGCCTTCAAGTCTTCAAAAGAGCACAAAAACTATCCAAGTCCCAAGCCTGTGATGTGGAATTTCCCAAATTTATCCCACTGTCTTCTCAAGTCTGTGTGAAATAGAATATTGTCACCAATGATCTTCACAACAATGGCTTTTTCTAATTTTTTAGTATTTTCCAATTCCTTATCAACAAGAAGTAAAGCCACTTTACCATCTTCAGACAAGAAAGAACCCAGATCCAGATTGTCTACCCTCACATTAGGTCATTTACTACAAACCGAATTAACCTTCACATTGCCATCCTTATTCACATCAGAATTAAAATTGGCTAAAAATACTTCAGGAACAACCACTGGAAGATCAACATTCTTCTTTAGAGACAAATCCACATCCACATTAATTACATCCTACGTACTGCTGATAACCAAAAAATCTAAGAGAATATCTCGATTAACCGGTGAAGAAGGCAGAGATTTCGAGTTGAAACCTTTATTAGAAGTAAGTTTTCCTCCAACCGATGAAGAGGTTTCTAAACCACAACCTCCATCGACATTATCATATCCAACCTGAAAAGCGAAATCTCCCGCTTTTCCAGAAAAAGCTCCTCCACTAAATCCTTACCTTTACCAGGGACGTGAGCGGGAATCACTTTCTTGTCCAACAATCCTCCTTTGTTGATAATCAATGGCTTTTCTTTAAAACCTTTGAAATTATGGTTAAATCCTTCGAGAACCTTTGAACCACCATTAAAAACTTCAGATGAATCAATAATTGGTATAGCCAAATTCTTCTTGTATTTCTTCCATGCTTCCGTTGGAAGGAGCCACCTTTACTCCCAAACTTTCTCTCTCCAGCTTTTGCCTACTTTAAGGGATTCAAATTATACTGAGTGGATGTTAAGAGTTCCTTTCTAAATGAGGTAATAAAAGTGGATGTTTTTGTTGAATAACCCCCAAGCTTTGAAAATTCTCAATCATGTGTTTAAATTTAAAAGGGCATTATATGGACTAAAATAATCACCTAGAGTATGGTATGAAAGAATAAGCACATTTATATTGGATAGAACCTTTGTTAAGGGGAGCTTAGTGTTGCAACTTAGATTTCAAGTATAAGTTTTATATTATGTGAGTTTTTGATGATACAGAAATATTATGGTTATGATTAATATTTCTCCTAACATGCAATAGATATATTTTCTTCGTATTATATATACTAACATTTTAGTGAAATCATAATCAAGACTGCTGAACACTTCAAGATAGATTCATTAGGTTTCATGTAAGGGGTTCTATAAATTTTTTATTTTTCTTGAGTTTGAGAGAGTGTGATTATAAGTAGGTAATCATGCACACACACACTAGAGTAGTGAGTCAAATTTTTTAAAAATTAATCATACTGTAAGATTTTAAATCATACTAGATGGTTTAACTTGGTTGTTTCTCCAAAATGTGGTTAAGCAAATCATGCATGGGTAAACTTTTAATTAATTGATTGTACTATACGATTTTAGGTTCGTATAGATGACCCCTAGAGTATGAAATTGGTACATACCATTTTGTCCCAAACAAACTTAGTACTTTTTGATCTAATTGTACTGCATGAAGTGGGGTTCATACAAACAACTCCTAGAATATGAAATGGGTGCATACGAGTACATCCCACTTGATATCTTCAATTTTTGAATGGATTGTACTATATAATTTTAGCTTCGTACAAACAAATCATAGAGTACAAAATGGTGTCATCAACATTCATACAAAATGAAGCATGATTTTATTAAATATTTTGTATTATATGACATTTAGTTCATATAGATGATTCGTAGTGTACGAATTAGGTTTGTGTAGAATCATACCAAATGAATTTGTTCAGTTTTGAACTATTCATACTGTACGATGTCAATTTATATTAACAACTGATAGAGTACGAAATTGGGTTTGTATAGGATCATACATAGATTTTAAACTATTCATATGTGTGAAGTAAAATCATACTATATGTTCTAAATTCGTTCAACTTGAAAATTTCAATTTTCTGGATGATTTTTCTTGTCTTTCATATATAAGGGTCCTAAAAACTATCACCTACAATCTTTTAGAGTTATTGATGTGAATTTCTTCTAAGAGTAGAAAGGAGAGTGTTTGGGAGAGTGTTTTAGGAGGAAAGGTTGATAGATCATTTGAGAGAAATTTGTAAGGGGATTCACAATAATTCCCAAAGGTAAGGAACTCTTGTTTATTCTTCAAGTTTCTTCATACTTCATTGATGGCTCTTGAGAGAATATTTTCAAATAAGATCCCAGTACTATGCCATCACTAGGATGGTAAAAAGGATGCTGGTTTTTTACCGTCACCTGGGAGGTGAGAAATGATGTTGGTACTATGCCATCACTAGGAGGGTGAGAAAGGACATTGGTAATCTACCATCATAAGAGGCTGAGAAAGGACGTCAGTACTTTGCCTCATCAGGTTGGTGGAAAGAGGTTTTAAAAGGGCTTTTCTGCCTTATTGTGGGAGCAAAATGAGAGTTACTTTTATTTAGTGCAATACTTACAAAATGAGTCTTCAGGGAGTGGATGTAGGTCTAGTTGGATCGAACCAGTATAAAATTTGGTGTTCTTCTATTCTTTTACTTTTTATTACATTTATATTTTATGCACTTTAGTTTATTATGGTTGAAAAATTTTTTTGTAAAAATTTTATTATGGTGCTAAAAAATCTTAAATTGGTTTTCTAAAATCCAAGAGAATTTTTAAATTACTAATTCACCCCCCTCTTGGTTAGCTTTGGGATAACTATATTAGGTCTAACAACCTATTTAAACTTTCAAGTTATGTTAGAGTCTATTTCAAAAATTAAGGTTTATACAACTTTTCTAAACTGATCATGGCTACTTTTAGAAATTGTAACACTCCTAAATGTTATTTGATCACTAGACCACTATTGTTTGATAACATTCATTTTGACTTTTGGAAAACTCGTATGTCTACGTTTATGCAATCACTTGACTATCAGATGTGGATTTTAGTACATGAAGGTTACACTAGACTAACTAGACTTATTTATGATGTTAGGACTGAAACATTATATACTTATTAGACAGTAGAGGAAAAAGAACTAGCTCAGTTAAATACAAAATGTTCAAATAGTTTTTTGTGTGCCCTAAATTCTTAGGTATATATGCATGTTTAAACCTCTAAAATTGGAAATGAATTTGGAATAGACTTTACATAACATATGAAGGAACTAATGAGGTGAAATAATCCAGATTGAACATTTTATTACATGATTATGAACTTTTTTGCATGAAACTGAATGAATCAATCTCTGATATGCATACACATTTTATACAGATAGTTAACTCATTGTATGCCTTAGGTAAGGAACTAATGAATTATGAGAAAGTTAATAAAATCATTCATTATTTACCTACTATTTATGATGCAAAGATAACTGCCAAAACTGAGTGAAAAGACCTACTTATTTATTCTATTAAGAATCTCCTTGGATCACTGATTGCTTAAAACTAAGGAGTGACCCAAAGACATATTTATGCAAGTGATAAGTAGAAGGAGAAAAATATTGCATTGAAAAGGGATGACTCTTTTATTTTTTTTAAGATGCCCAAGGCTAACTTTTTATTATTCAAAGAAAACTAATTACAAACTAGTAGCACCTCTTGATTCCTCCTTTAACAATTTACAGAACAAGGAAGAAATCTTATTAGAGGATAAATCCTCCCAACAAAAACCACTACAAATGGCATAGCTAGCAAAAAGATTTGCTAGCTTATTACATCTTCTATTTACCCAATTAAAAAAAACAAATTTATGGTCCTTCAAC